CTGGTTAGGATCCCCTAAACTCCACTGAATATGTTACCTACTCTGGTAACAAAACATTCAGAAACCAACCCACAAACTCAAAGAAATAACCCGTACCCTCTTCCTACACCCAAACTACAGACATTCACCACTATTGCCACTGAGCCAAGATGGCGCAGTGGTTAGAGTGCAGTACTGAGGCCACTTTTTCTGCCTGCCAGCTGCCTGCAATTTGGCAGTTCAAATCTCACCAGGTTCAAGGTTGACTCAGTCTTCCATCCTTCTGAGGTTGATAAAATGAGGATCCAGATTGTTGTGGGCAACATGCTGACTGTAAACCACTTAGAGAGGGCTGTAAAGCAGTATATAAGTCTAGGTTCTATTGCTATTGCAATAATTTTTATGAATCTAAGTCTTTTAATGTTTGCCTTATATCAGGGGTACATCATCCATGAATGGTGAAATTGAACTTAAATTTCCATATTGTAATTCCCAACCAATATGGTTATTTGGTCAACTATCATTCTGGTTGGGGGTTATAAGAAAACAATTGACAAATCAAATAAATAAATAAATAAAATAAATAAATAAATAAATAAAACCTGGAATATCTACATGTTTGCCCATTTGATGATTTAAAATGGGAAAAAAATAAGAAAAGAAAAATAACAACCACCAAAAAAAGCCAACAACCCATAGTGTCCATGTTATCAGTGGTATGATGAAGTAGGAAACAAGTTATTTTTACTGTTACCTAGGGAAAAGAATCTTGCTAGATAGTGCAGATGCTGAGATAGTGAGAAGAGAAAATCTTGGGAACTGTTGCTATGACAACAGGTTGAAGTGCTGGGCTGCAGGCTGTGGGAAGTGTTTAGTTGAATCCAGATAGTCGGGGAGCCTTCTATAAAGAGAAATGGCCAAAGCAAAATGTACTTGCTCTTCAGTTTCTTACAGACATTAGATAGAAACTAGATATTTCTGAACTTCAACTTCCTGCTGGTTGGCCAACAGGGTCAGTGATAGGGGAAGGTTTGCTGTGATATTGAGGATTCAGCAACATTTAGAAGGCCTCAGGATTCTCTATTCTGCTGTGGTTTCTGAGAGCTACGTGGCTGTAAGGTTTAAATGGACCTTTAAATTTAATACGTTTTCAGTGCAGATAACAATTAAGAGGACTTCAGCAACTGTGGAGGTTATCTCCAAGACTGAGAATATCACCAGCAAATTATGATGTTTATGGATATTTTTTATTACATTCACAGGTGCACAAGAATTCAAAGGGAGCCTAAATAAAGGATCCTAGATAGTTTTCATACAATTACTGTTAGACTTATTTGATTGCTGCATCCTGCTCTTTCATGATAGTGGCATAAAATTGTAGAATCTGGTGGATTCCTGGAAGCCAATAAGCAAAATTTTAAAATATTTGAAAATAAATTCAGTGGTGAAAGAAGGGAGGATCATCATGTCTGCTTCCCAGAGCTTTTTGAAGAATAACAAAGTAAAAATATATAACATGTACACCAGAGCCTAAGCTTTGGCACCAACACTTTAGCTGGCTGTGCTTGGGATAGAGAACAGATATACGGTAGTGAAGGATATGAGTTATTTTTATGAAGTTATTTTCAGTTTAGAGGTAGCTGTCCAGATTGTGTTGCACTCTAGTTTCCATCAGCCTCAGTCAGCCATTATCACACATGCAGTTAACTAGACTTGTTATCCAACCTGTTTTAGAATGCTTTGCTTCAGTCTTGTTAATTGGTATATGTTGTTACAAATATATTCATTTTCTAAACATTCTGTTCTGGTCATTTCAATAATTGTTCTAATCTCTTGCTCCCTGCAAAATGGTCATTCTCTAATCAGTCAAATGAAAAGATTTGTTATTTTAATTTGTGAGATTCAACCTTATTTTTGTTGTAGTCTTCTGCAGAGAATAGCATTGATTTGAGGGGTAGAGCAAATAATTCACTTAATTTATATGATTTATATGGCCACCCATCTCACATAGGTGACTCTAGGTAGTGTGCAAAGATTAAAACCACAAAAAAAACATGACCTAAACACACTGACACCAGTCACTGCACTGGGCAGAAATCACATCATATCAACACCTGCTGTTGACAAGTCTTGCTAAGCAAAACTCCATATTTAGAGCAGGCAAGAATCTTCATCTTCCCTTGAGGAAAGGCAGCAAGCATCTGTTATATTCTCCTTGTTATGAGTTCCTAATCATCCTTAACATTCATAGTAGGCTGCTTGGCCTCTTAAACAGTTAATGGAAAGTAAATTGTGACTTCATGTGATTTTGGAATGATCAAATCTCCATTCTAACTCTGGATTGATGTTTCATGGGCCTACGGGATGAGGAGGTATAAGCCAGTTCAATTCCACCTCCATGTTGTATTTGCCACTAAAGCCCTATATAACTGGAACAAGTATTTAAAGGAATGTCCAGTTCCTTGCTGCTTGAGGACATATGAGATAAACCTTCCTTTGGTAATCAGTAGGCTCCATGTCTTCGTCATCAGACCTCGGATTTCTTTTCTTATTTTCAGCATCAGGTGAAAAGTTATTTACCTTGAATGTGTCCATAGATGTTGAGGCAGTCATGCGGAAAATCAGCGGTTCTAATGCTGGAGAGAAGTCGTTCTGTAAACACTGTATTTCAGCTACCTACAAAAGCCAGGAACAATTTGGTTAATTCAGAAGAGCGGGAGAAAGAAGTCTATCATGAAATTTTGCCAAAGGTGCTGTCTGGACACTGGATTTACTGCTGAGGCCAATGTTGATGTCTGGATACAGTGCAATCTTGGGCATGTTTATTTTGAACTCACTCATTCTTTTAAATGAGATTTCCGTTCAGGGATGTATGACTAAATTTATCTGTAAACTGTTTTGATAAACTGATCTGCAGGCAAATCTCAGTGAATTCAGTGGGACTAGTGGTTTGATAAGACAGGTAATCATACAGGCAGGTTATTGTTTCTTAAATACTAGTGGAAATATTTTGCTGTATTTATTTTTGTCATAAAGTTATGAGTCTCTGGAAGTTTCCAGATTGAAGAATAGGGATATTATTTTAAACAACTTAACATGATAACATGATAATTCTAAACCCAGAGAATTAGTCTTCTTGGAAATGCCTCATGGAATTCATTGAGTTGTAGATTATGGCTCGTCTATACATCTGGAGATTTAAGGCATGAATTAGAATTTGAGTTGTAAACTTAATTGGGCAAACTTTAACTTGGTCCAGTACTGTCTAAAGAAAAATGTCCTGTACTAATCCACTGTTTTATTTTATATTATGTAAGATAGCAAGTGGTTCTTGCCAATTATAACAGTTTTCACGTGGAAGAAAGCTTGACATTCAGTATGTTGTGCCATTGTTACAACTTTCTTTGTTTCTTGTCTCCCACTCCTACTTTTAAACAGTAACAGGAATAATCTTTTATTTCAAAAATATAAGGGGAATCTTTCCTCACCGCTATTAAAGTTGGTCAAAAGTTGTCTCTGAAAAGTGAGGGAGAGGAAACTGTGCGAATAAGTTCCTCCTGGAATTTAAGAACCAAATGTCAACATACCTGTCAGAGGTTGTAATTCTGGTCTCCCATATACAGGTAGTCCTTGACATACAACCACAACTGAGCCCAAAATTTGTGGCTAAACAAGACAGTTGTTAAATGAGTTTTGCCCCAGTTTACGACCTTTTTGCCACAGTTGTTAAAGTGAATCACTGCAGTGGTTAGTAACATGTTTGTTAAGTGAATCCAGCTTCTCCATTGACTTTGCTTGTCAGAAGGTCACAAAAGGGAATCACATGACCCCAGGACATTGCAATCGTCATAAATATGAGTCAGTTCTCAAGTTTCTGAATTTTGATGGCTTGTGATCATGGGGATGCTACAACCTTCATAAGTGGGAAAATGATCATGTCACTTTTTTCAATGCCCTAATCACTTCAAACCATCACTAACTGAAGTGTTGTAAAATGATAGCCACCTGTGAAGTAAATAATCAATGAGCAAGGGAGAACAGCCTCACCTTACAGATCCAACTAGAGAAGGAATAGTTAGTAGATCAATCCTAATTCTTCAACTGCAGTCTTCTCTTTTGTATCACTGTAGATTTAATTCAGTAGCAGGAGTCAGGAGCTTTTTCATGCATTTAATATTGCACATGGTGATAGTAGAAACGATGTTCTGCCTTCTTTAACTATAAAACAGGTGTCTAATGTCCTTCTGTATCTGACCTTCAGATAGCAACTCTAGAATCATATGTATGAGTGGAAAACTATAAACATTGAATTTATACATGGATTATAAAAATCAGGACCATGCTTCACATTGTAAATGAAAGCATGCTCAAGATAAACTTGATTATTTTAAGTATACATTTTAATTGAATTAACATTAAATGACTAGTAAAGTTGTTACTTTGTATTTAATTATTTTCTCTGTATGCTTAAAATTACAATTAGTGACAAGTTTTGAGGGCGAAATGCTAAGCTTCTGGAAGCAACTACTAGCTGTGTAACATATTTCAAGCCTACACCAAGGATTTTCAAACTTTTAAGGCTGTGGATCCTCCTCTTCTGAATTAAACAATGTTAATTGCTATTTTTTGTGCTACACATGAAATAAACAGAAGCAGATATTTGTTAATGAATATTGGGCTTGGACTAACAGTGATGTTTGTAAAAATATTTTAAAACTATTTTCTAAAAGCCATAAAAGAGAAGAACTATTTTTTCTTAAAACAATATCCTTGTCATACGTAAGTGATTTCTGATTAGAAATATTGGCTCTTGTTAAGAAAATTGGAATGCAGCAGGCATTGAATGGAAGATCCTGAATATGAATATTCTAGACAGTAATATTTTGTTACCAATTTCATCTGTTATTTTCTAGATTTCAGAGCCATTAATGCAATGAGTTAATGGAGTTTCTCTTGAATTTCCTTGACAATCCAGGATAATTTCTTTCCTCTGAATGTTCCTCTTTATAATCTACTTACAGATTCATAGCCAAAAATATCATGCGCTTACAACGCCTGGGTATTACCCATATTCTCAACGCTGCAGAAGGCAAGTCTTTCATGCATGTGAATACAAATGCTGAATTTTATGAAGGAACGGGTATCATCTACCATGGCATCAAGGCCAATGACACCCAGGAGTTCAACCTCAGCCGTTATTTTGAAGAAGCTGCTGATTTCATTGATAAGGCATTAGCACAGAAAGATGGTAAGACATCTACGTCCAAATGGCTTTCTGTGTTGCATGGCCAAAACGTTTATCTTGCTTAGATACACTTTCTTAAGTCTTGGTCTGGTTCGCACCTGGTTTAAATTGTTGCATGAATTATCAAGTTATCATTTTATAACAAACTGAGACTTTGCATGAGCAATGTACCCATTCATTATTTCTTAGGATTTAGAGTATTGTCAGAATTAATCTCTTAACTCATTCAGAGACTGCATGGCAGCACCAGGAGCTATCATTTAATAATTGACTTGAAGTCTTTATATATGTTTATGTGTATACAGATAGTCCTCAACTTATGGTCACAATTGAGCCCAAAATTTCCATTGGTAAGGAATTGTTAAGTGGATTTTACCCCATTTTGCAACCTTTCTGGCCACAGTTGTTAAGTTAAACCAGCTTCCCCATTGAGTTTGCTTCTCTAAGGGATTTGCTTCACAGAAACACAAACTAAATATTTGCCAATTGCCAGGCATCTGAATGTTGATCATGTGACCAAGATGCTGCTGCAATGGTTGTAAATTGAAAAATGGTCATCAGTGCCGTAGTGACTTTTTTCAGTCACTAAGCAAATGGTTATATGTCAAGGACTATCAGTATGCTATCAGTTTCACTTTCATATACCATATAATTCTTAGAACTATCCTATATTTTTCAATTTGACCCCAGTTTCCTTTGTTAATTCTCTGGGCACCCATTACAAAGGCATTTTTAAAAAATAGTAAATGTTTGCTATAGGTGGCCTGGAGGGATGGAAAGATAGATCTCTTAATGTAGAAGTCAACAACCTTTTTGACTCAGGGACACATTTGGAATTTTAGCAGTATTGAAGAACAAAATGGCTCCTATTGGAAACATGCCTGTTCACTTGGCCACCCCAAGTGGAATGGGCAGCAATAAAACAGCCATTGCCAAAAGTAAGGCCTCGGGGTGAACTAAAAGAAATGTTTGGGGTGTAATGGTCCCTGTGGCACAACTTTGCCAACCACAGTGTAATGTTTTCTTGTCCTGGATTGACTGATCTTTTGCAATCTTCTGGGAGCTAGGGAAGAGGGTGGGAGAAGCTGTTGAAAAGTTAAGAGTTTAAGAGACAAGAGAGGTGTGGGAGATGTAAATGAGAAATGTATAAATTATATCCAGTTATTGCTGCAGAGAAAGAATGATTTGTCTGCTTGCTGATAACTTGCAGTTGCTTGCAGGTTTGTGTTGTTATATAGGGACAACAAAAGGGAAGAAAATGCTGTAAATGTCAGGCTTTGCACTTCTCCTTAGCTTCTGATATCTTTTTCTCCATCTGAAGTAACTGCTGTGAATTTCTCCATAGTAGAATTTTGGGCCTGGAAAACAGGGTTGGGAAAGATGAATGGTAGTCTTGGGCCTGGTTTGCACATGTTGGTCTTGAGCTGGATGTATTCCTACTTGTATAATTGAGCCAAAGTTTCACTGAGATTGGTGGGATCCTATGGGGGAATAATATTTCCATTCTCCATCAGTAGATGGCTCATTAAGGTATGGGCATGTAAAAATGTATATTTTTTAAGTGGCCCAAATTTTACTAATTTTACTCCTAAACTCTTCCTTGAAGATTTCAAAAGAGACCATGAAAACCCTCAACACTGGCAACATTGAATGACAATTTTGACCATTTATTTAAATCTAGAAAATACTGGTGGTCCTGCAGAAGCTATTGGTGGATGTCGTAATTGTGTGGACATCTCTGAAAATTGCATCAACAGATAACACTTGAATAATAGGGCAGTACCATCTCACCTGGTGCCACCTGACTCTTACTCTCTGATTAGCCAAGAAATTGAATCATCTGTTTGGTGAACGAGCAAGATCCAGCTACCTGAGGCAATTATTAGCCCTACATTGGGTGTTGATTTTCTTTTGGTAAATCTACTTGCCTGTATGGTAGTGGTGTATGGGACCAAAGCATGCATGATTATATACATACACACATACTGTTCACCACTCTCAGTACATTGCATATAGGCTTACTCATACACTCACATCAATAAATCTCTAAGTTGGCCATTAAAGTGATCTATCTACATGAAACGGTTTATGTTAGGCTGAAAAGTTGGGGAAAACCTGGGCTAAAAGCATAATGGTGGTGATACTGGAAGAAAAAATGGTAGGAGAAATGTGAGCTTTTTCCCCTCTGGGCAGTTTTGTATTGGAAGGATAGCTCCACTTGATGGTACTCAGTGTCTTGTAGAATTTTGTTTTGAACTTAAGAACTAGGAGAGACAGAAAGCGAAAGCTTATAGAAATGAAAGGAATTGGCAGATTGTGCCAGGTTTATGCCTCTAATATTTGCTGTGGGGTAGCCGAAAGGAGCAAAATGGCATTTTTCCATTTTCTCTTTTGGCAGAGTTAGGAGAGAACAATTTTTTGCAGGAAGCAAAAGTACCAAAAGGAACTGACTCAGAAAATTGCAAGGGCCTATCCTTGATCAGTTTAGATGGAAAGAGGGGAATTGGTATCTAGAAATGCATCCTTGCATGAAATGGAAGTCCTTTCCATGCTCCTTTGGGAATTTGTTGTGCTTTAATCTGAGAATTAAAGCAAAAACAAAAGATGGCAATTAAATGGGTTTTCTGAGATGTTGGGTGGTCAAATAATGTCCAGTAATCTGGAAAGACAAACAAGATTGCTTTATGTTGAAAACAGACTCCAAGGGGGTTTCATTATTGGAAATGGTAAAGAGGAGGCGGCCATTTTTTCTTCTATCCCAAAATATGTTTATTTCTGGTTCATGTGTTGTACACTTATTACTAATTTCTCCTACCTCTGAGAACATTTCATATTTTATTTTTTTCCTGACACCTACCGTCCCACCATTCCTTCTTTCTCCTTTTTGACATTTCATTTTATTGAAAAGAAAATCCAGGTGGACTATCTGGGCAAATAAAAACTATCCTTTCTCACAGTATCAAGACACATTTCGTGTTTGGCTCATGATTCCCATCATCCTTAAATAGCAGGCTGTCGGCCAGATGGATGAATACGTTGGCAACTAGTAATCAGTACATTTTTCTTATAAGGAAAAACAAGTTTAAGTTAGTGCGATAGTGGTGGTGGTTTCTGTGTCAGTTCTGGGTTTTGCTTTCCGGTTCTTGTCCAGTAAAGCCTAAGTCAATCAAACAAACAATACATAAATGTTAAGAACTATACTAAGAATATGTATATCGACATTGGCTATTACACGCACACACGCAAAGTCTGTCTATCCTTCTAATGGGTGCCTAGGTTGGGGAAGGTTGTTGAAAAAAGGGGAAAGTATTTGTATCCCTGTAGAGGTACCATTTTAAAGTGGAGTAATAACAAGCAAGATTGAATTCCTCTGATACTCCCCCTCCTCTTAAAAGTCCCCAAAAGCATTTGCTTCCTCCCTCAACCCCCCAGCCTTCCTTCCCACTAACACCCATATCCAAGCATCTTTACCCTAAAGTTTTTATTTTATGCGTATCCCTATTATGAAGCTCAGTTCTCCTGAGAGCCGTTCGGATCATCCAGAGAGTGGGAGGTGCTTCAGTCTACGTCGTTGATGGCTGAGCTCAATCACTGAGGAACGCTCCGCCCTCCATCACGTGGCTCTCTTGCGTTCCCCAGTTTGCGCTCAGCCGTCGTCAAGTTAGGCTGTGCATTTCTCACTCCTTGGCCGATCCAAGCCTTGTTCTCAGGTTTGAATATATTTATAGAGAAAAACAAGTTATTTTCCTTAGCCTTCCGGCGCAGGACTGGGGATTTAAGGGGAGCGCGTTTCTTTCGCCCCCAGGGGGGTTGTAGAACGGGCGACTTCGCGCTTCGGCGCTAATCCCCCCCCCAATTTGATCTCTTGCCTGCCGTTTCTCTCGCCGCGCTTGCAGCGGCTTTACTGATCGTGCTGATAAGCGCTGCTGGTATTCCCCCCCACCGCAAACGCCGCTCGCCCTAAGAAGGGGCGAAAACTTACTGCTTGGCTTCCTCGGCCTCTTTTAAGGCCGGAGAAGTAAAAAACTTCGTTGCCCTGAGCAGCCCGGGACTTTAGAAACGTGGGCGATCGCCTCTAGGGCGCCTCCACGTGGCGGGCGCCATCTTGATTGAGGCCTCATAGCGCTGCGAAGTAACCGGCCCTAGCACAGGCCTCTCAGCCTGTAGGGCCTTTGGTAATTGTTACAATTTAGTAATTGTTGGCTTCCTGCAGCAGGCTCAGGGCAAGTGATTGCAGCCTATCCCTCCCGGTTGTTGCCTGGGAGCTCCAGCTGCCAGAGGCCTCCTTCCAGCCTCAGGCGTTTAATTCGGATAATTGGCAATCTTTCATTAATATAGTAATAATAATAATATTAATAATTACAATAATAATAATTATTATAATAATAATATTAATAATAATAATAATATATTAATAATAATAATCATAATAATATTAGAACAAGAATATTAACAATAGTTCTAATACTAATAGACATTGGAATATCTGCCTGTATGCAGGTCTAGATATTTCCTCATATATAGATTTATATTTATACTCACATATAGATAGACCTGGGTGAGTTTATTCCTGTAATTTTTTCTTATTGATATTGTACCTTAGCATTCCAAGTCTCATTGGATTGTTATCCTGCTTGTGCAGATAAGTATTAAGAATTATTTCAACATCCATATTACAGAATTTATACATCTAAATTCCAAAAGGGGGTGTGGGCCAGCTGAAAGGACATCCGACCTTTGTTGTAGGTCGAACCCTTGGCGAGCCAACCGCCTTTAACTGTATTACTGTCCTTTCTTGTACAATGGCAGATGACATTCCCACCAAAGGCCCTTCTTTGAAGGCCAAATCCAAATCCTACCACCTGCGCAAACAGGCTAAGGAAACTCCTAAGGAAACTCCTAAGGAAACACCTAAAGAGACTTCTAAGGCTTCTCAGAGAGACGCCCTACGACGTCACAGGGCTCTCGAGAGGGAATTTGACAGGCGGTCCAGAGAGGCACAACCGGTACTTCCAGCACCCTCTGCTCCTTCTACCTCCAGACCCCCCCCCCTCCTCCAGATTGTTTTTCCGTCTCCAGGCGCAGCCCATCCCAGGGACACCAGGTTCCCGGCCCATCAACCAGACGGCCTCCTGAAGCTACATTCACGCCCACGGCCGCTGGTCTTCGCCAGGAGGAGGCCCCCTCATCCGAGATCCCTGCGCACATACAGACATTGATGGAACGGGCCATTCGCCAGGGGATAGCAGAGGGCCTTCAACAGATGTCCAGGTCTACTCCCCCCTCACTGGCGCCCGAACACGACCCACCATCAGTGAGGTCCTCGCCCAGATCGGACCCTACTCGTGGTCAGGTACCTTCTCAAGGGGGCAGCCCTCTCCCAGAAAGGGACCCGGAGGAGGATATAGAGTATCTAGACCAATTTGGGGGGGAAGAGGAAATGGAATGGGGGTCTATGCAACAAGAGGAGCCCCTATCGGAGGTAGATCCTATGGAGGGGGACATGTCCGAGGATGAAGGTCTCACCCCGGACCAACCCACTGTTGCGGGCCTGTTCAAGCCCCACATGTTCAAATCCCTGTTATTCAAAGCCAGGAACATCTCTGGCCTGTCGGTGCAAACCTCCTCAGCTCTCCCCTCCCCGGCAGAAGGTCAGGAGGATGCCATCTTTAGTCAACCCGTGGTGGAGGCGGAGGTAATCCCGGCTCCACCCCTATTTCATGACCTGGTCTCAAATCAACTGAATTCTACTAGGGCCCCTCCCGCCCCATCCAGCCTGGACAGGAGGTTCTTTAACCTCGAGTCGAGTTTCTGTGACTTACTCAACACCCCCGAGGTGGATGAGCCCATTGTTGGGTTGGCCTCCTCGTCCTCCCCCAGTGACCCCCAGAGGCTCTGAAACCCGAGGACAAGAGGTCCGAGCTCGCCTTACGTAGAGCTCACCAAGCGGACTCCTGGGCCATTAGATCAGCCACTGCGGCTTCTTTCTTCACCAGATCTTCGATCCGGTGGCTTCGGCAACTGAAGCAACATGTTCCCCCCTCCAACACAAGGGCTCACCAGGACATAGCAAAACTGACGGCCGCGGCGGAATTTTCCGCTGATGCCACCTTCCATGCGGTCAAGTTCTCTGCCCGGGCAATAACGTCCCATGTCACTGCTCGCCGCCTGCTATGGCTTAAACACTGGCAGGCGGACGTTAAAAACAAAGTTAAGCTGGCTACTGCCCCCATAAAAGGGGAGAAACTATTTGGCTTGGCTCTGGACCCCTTGCTATCTGAAACCCGGAGCAAGAGAAAATTTCTCCCTCCTCTGTTTCGGAGGTCAGAGTCTAGAGCCCCCCAGCCATTTCGGAGAGGCTCCTCCCGCCCTTTCTACCAGTCTCCCTTCCCACCAAGGTACTCGAGAACCCCCTCCTCCCGACCGTTCCAGCCCCAGGATCGAACCGATCCGGCCGATAGGAACAGGAGGGGCAGCGGCTACAGGCGCCCTTTCAGGGGTTCAGGAGGGAGGCCCTTCCGGCGTAAATAGATCCCGTCCCTCCCCTCCCATCGGCGGACGCCTCAAGCACTTTGCCGACCGATGGGACTCTTCCACCTCTGATACCTGGGTCCGTGATACCATCAGACTCGGCCTCACGCTTGAATTCAAAAGCGCCCCCCCCCTGACTTCTTTCTGGCGTCCCCCCCCTCAAGGGACCCCATCAAACGCAACCTAATGGATTCAGCAATCCATCATCTTCTCCAAATACAGGCCATTCAACCCGTCCCGCCCTCCCAGCGGGGGCAGGGGTTCTACTCCCACCTTTTTGTAGTTCCCAAATCCTCCGGAGGATGGAGGGCCATCTTGGACCTTAAACGCCTTAATCGTTATCTGGTCTGTCGCAGGTTCAAGATGCACACCCTGCAGTCCATCCTCCTCAGCATCCGCCAGGGGGACTGGCTATCCTCCATAGACCTCTCCGAGGCCTACCTCCACATTCCAATCCGACCCTCCCATTTCAAATTCCTCAGGTTCTGCTACAACCACCGCCACTTCCAATATGTCGCCCTTCCCTTTGGGCTGGCCTCTGCCCCGAGGACCTTCACTAAGGTCCTCGCGGCCCTGGCGGCTCATCTCAGGAATCTCCCGGTCCGCCTCCATTGCTACCTGGATGACATCCTCATCCTCTCTCCCTCCAGACCCCAAGCAGAGAGGGACATCAGGGTTACTATCTCGGTCCTCCAAGACCATGGTTTCCTAGTTAATTGGCAAAAGAGCCAACTATCCCCATCTACAAGGATCTCCCACTTGGGGGCTGTCATTGACTCAGTGCAGGGTAAGGTGTTCCTCTCCCCCGAGAGACTCCTTAGTATCCAGGAAGCCGTCAGGCATATCAGATGATCCAGGAAGGTTACAATTTTAGAATTGTCCAAATTACTGGGTAAAATGGTTTCTTGTATCTCCATTGTTCCATGGGCCCGTTTACACGCTAGACCCCTACAATGGTTCCTGCTCCCGTTCCAGCGGACCGGCAGAAGCAACTCAAGGGCCACAGTCAAGGTACCTCCAAGAGTCCTTACATCTCTCCTCTGGTGGACCAGCCCCACCATCAACAAGGGTCACTTCATCAAGGAGCCCCACCGCCTCACCCTCACCACAGACGCCAGCCTGTCCGGATGGGGCGCTCACATCCTCTCGCTCTCAACTCAGGGCACATGGTCTCAGGTAGAACGGGGGTGCAGTATAAACTGGCTGGAGCTCCACGCCATCTTCCTGGCCCTGCGCAGTTTCCTCCCCCAAGTACGCGGGCGGCATGTCCTCATACTCACGGACAACGTCACCGCCAAGGCTCACGTCAACCGTCAGGGGGGCACACAGTCCATCCGCTTGATGAGGGAGGCCGAACGCCTCTGCCGTTGGGCAGAGCGCAATCTCCTCTCCCTCAGAGCCGAACACATCTCAGGGGACTCAAACACCCAAGTGGATTGGCTAAGCAGGACCACGGTGGACCAGTCCGAATGGCGCATCCACCCGTCACTATTCAGGGAGGCGTCCAGAATGTTCGGTCTCCCGTTAGTAGACCTCTTCGCCTCTCCACTCAACACGCAACTCCCCAGGTTTTTCTCCAGGTACCCCTCCCACGGGGCCGAGAATCACGACGCCCTCCGTTGCCCCTGGCCCACAGGGCTCCTCTATGCCTTCCCGCCTCTAGCCCTGGTTCCCAGAGTTCTCCAGAAGCTCATCTCCGAGAGGGCAGAGCTGATTCTAGTAGCACCCTTCTGGCCCAGGCGCCCCTGGTTTGCGGACCTCCGCAACTTATCAGTGGCCCCTCCCTGGAGAATCCCCCCAACCAGGATATCCCTCTCCCAGGGGCCCCTTCAACACCCAGACCCTCAGTGGCTCCAGTTAGCCGTTTGGAGGTTGAGCGGGAGCGCTTAAGGAAAGAACGGTTTTCTGACCAAGTTATTGAGACCATTTTAGCCGCCAGGCGGCCTTCAACAACCCGCATATACAACGCCACTTGGAAGGGATTCTGCAAGTGGTGTCATGGTCTCCAGATCAACCCGCTGTCACCTTCCATAGCTCAGGTCTTGGAGTTCCTCCAAGAGGGCCTGAGGAAAGGGCTTTCCCCCAACACCCTGAGGCGTCAGGTCGCAGCGCTATCCACAGTCATTGACTGTGATAACCTGGGTTCCCTTTCCCACCACCCCCGTATTCGGGCATTCCTCAGGGGGGCCACCAACCTGTGTCCCCCAACCATACACCGATACCCTACCTGGGACCTTAACAAGGTCCTGGTGTCTCTGACTAAGCAACCCTTTGAGCCTCTCAGGGAAGCCTCTCTCCAATTCCTCACATTCAAAGTGGTATTCCTGGTAGCTATTACTTCGGCCCGACGCATATCGGAGTTAGCAGCCTTGTCGGTAAGGAAGGACCTTTGCATATTCCATGCCGATAGGGTGGTCCTCCGACCGGACCCTACCTTCCTGCCCAAGGTTAACTCGACCTTTCACAGGGCTCAAGAACTCATACTCCCGAACTTCTGTCCCAATCCCTCGCGGGAAAGGGAGAAGCTTTGGCACTCACTGGACGTAAGACGGGCCCTACGCATTTACATTAAGCGTACCCAACCCTTCCGGAGGTCAGAATCTCTCTTCCTTTCCTTCCAGCCCAAATCCTTAGGCCACAAAATGTCCCCGTCAACCATCGGCCGCTGGATTAGGGCTGCCATTTCCAAGGCTTATTTGTCCCAGGCACTGCCGGTACCCAGGGGGATCACAGCACACTCCACCAGAAGTGCAGCCACCTCGGCGGCTTGGGCCACCCAGGCTCCAATTTCTGATATTTGTCGGGCAGCCACTTGGGCATCCCCCTCTCCTTTCATTAGACACTATAAGATTGACACCTTTGCCTCGGCGGAGGCTTCGTTTGGTAGGCGAGTCCTCCAGCGAGTCTTCAGGGAACCTCGGAGATTGCAGGACCAGACGGGGTCCCTCCCGTAGGACAGCCAAGCTTTGGTATGTCCCACTCTCTGGATGATCTGAACGGCTCTCAGGAGAATGGGCGTTGGTTCTTACCTGACACGCCATTTCTCTGGAGCCGTGAGGATCATCCAGCCCCACCCTTTAATTACCGTCTGGTGGGGCCTTGTTTCGGCCAATGACCTCTTTAGCATAGGAAGAGCAGAGCAACGTCCTTCTCTTCAACTTCGTCTTCACGCAAACTGGGGAACGCAAGAGAGCCACGTGATGGAGGGCGGAGCGTTCCTCAGTGATTGAGCTCAGCCATCAACGACGTAGACTGAAGCACCTCCCACTCTCTGGATGATCCTCACGGCTCCAGAGAAATGGCGTGTCAGGTAAGAAACAACGCCCATTATCTTTGGCATAACATTGTGCTCCCACTTAGTCTGTTCTTTTTTTTTTTTTTTCCAACTAGGTAGAGTGTATGTCCACTGCCGCGAAGGCTACAGCCGCTCACCCACCCTCGTTATTGCTTACCTCATGCTTCGGCAGAACATGGATGTCAAAAGTGCTGTCAGCGCCGTCCGGCAGAAACGAGAGATTGGCCCCAACGATGGCTTCTTGAAGCAGCTGTGCCAGCTCAATGAGAAGCTGGTGATGGAGAGCAAGCTGAAGAAAGCATAGCCATTGCTTAGCCTGTGGCCTCTCTGCACTTCTTGCCAAACACTGTTAATTGCTTTGGGTTGAGGGCAGTGGCTGCCAGGCTGCACAAGCGAGGCAGGAGAAAGCTCAAGCTGCTTTCGCAAAGATTGGGTGGGGTGGTTTCGAGTAGTACCAGAAAACTACTGCAGGATTGTGGCTCCCACGTTGTGGAACCCCACCTTGTCCAGCCAGGCACCAGCTCACATATCTTTATTTTATATTTTGTTGAGTATAGTTTATGTGTGTGTTTGTGTGTGTGTGTGTGTGAGAGAGAGAGAGAGAGAAAGACGAAGAAAGTTGAAGGGCTTGGTTTCAAAGCATTTTGTATCATGACTAAAACTGTCTTACATTTCACAGGATATGATTTTGCTATTGTCCTCATTTGCTTAGCCAGCCATTCCTTCCTCCACTCTCACCCACCCACTCCCCTGTAGATTTAATGGGGTTGTTTTTTTCTTCACATGTTTAGAGGTAAGGGCTGTCTTCTATGTGGATGGCAACCCGGGTCAAAAGTGTGGGATCAGATTCTAGTCCATATGATTTATTTGCAGGGAGCATGAGGGTTCTTTTGATTTCCCCAGAAAGTTTATATAAATAATCCACATTCTAAAACTATAGACCTCAGGTACCAGGGCAGTGCTAGGTTAATTTCTTCAGCTGCTGAATCCTGGAGAGTCTTAGAAGTAGGTAGCTCTGTTTTGCTGAGCCGGATTTTGCCATTCAGTTCCAATCTATTTCACAATTTTAAGAATGGTAAAATTTAAAAATGAAACAAATGATTGAGGTCATTTAGTCTGCACATAAATGTGCAGGTGCACATGCATACATGCAGATTCAGTGGCAGATACATGCAGGGGCAGCTCTTTTTGGATAGTTGGCCTTCCAGGCTGCCTAATACCTTCAGCAAAGGAAATCCCACTTTCTTCTGAGAGAAGTTAATTCACCTTCCAACAGTTCTTAGCCACTAGAAAGGTTTGTCCTAATGTTTTGCTGCAACCTTATTCTTTGGCCTGAATACCTCTTGCTTAAATTCCCGACTTTTAGAACAGCGTTTTGTCAGCATTGGCAACTTTAATATGTGTAGATTTCAATTCCCATTTGTCCACACATATCAAAGTTGCTAAAGTTGAGAGATATTGTTCTAGAGCAAGAGCTGCTTTCTCTGCGTCATATCTTTCAGATATTTGAAGAGAGCTGTATGGTTTCCTCTTAGTGCTGATGCTGGGTACTTCCATTTTCCGGAACAAGGTTGCTATCTAGAACAAGTCATAAGCAATAAATTGACTAGCCAGGATCAGTGTCAAGAATGTCTGCAAAGAGTCACCCTGGCTGTCAAATGTATGTGTGGGAGTGTTGGTATACACACATGCATGCACACCACCGGCACATTTGTCTTTTGCTTATGCTAGTTAAAGTAAGGCCCCTTGGGTCATCACAAGATAGGAAAGTCAATGTTTAGTAAAAAGAAGCACAATTTCTTGTCATCAAATTATCAAATTATCCTTCTGTTTAGCTGTGCTTGACATGAATGTGGATACAAAACACATACAGTACTGAGACATGCGCACATACATGGGCACATATACAAGCAATGAAAAAGCCATCTAAGGACAAGCTGTTAATGTAGTAATACTTTGTATATAGTGTTGATATAGGTGGGTTTACAGCTTCTGTGTTAGAAGCAAATTATCCCCCCCCCCTTTTCGTTTTGTTTGTCCTGTCCTTTTGCCCTCTTGTTTGTCTACAACGTCACCAAGACATACCCCTGTTCCAATAGGGTTGGCATGATTTTGACTGTGCTAGGCTGCATTGACAATAGAAATGGCTGGTTTCCTGCTGAGTTTCAGTCAGGGATATTATTAGCAACCTGCTTCCCCTTAGCCAGAGATCTTTGCCAGTAGTAATGGTAGTTTTTGAAATGCTGAATTTGGTAAGTGAAACAAATCAGCCTAAATAAGCTGATCAAGTAATGTAATTCAGTGGTCCCCAACCTTTTTTGTACCAGGGACCGGTTTCAAGCAGAAACATTTTTTCAAGGACCGGGGGGGGGGGG